AAGAGGTGGTAAGCTAAACCATCTGACCAACCTGAAGAACTTCAGTCGTTTTTTGTTTTGATTTTTAATAAATGGAGAGAGTTTACATGCAAGTCTGTTTGTTTTTTAGGATTTTTTTAGCTGCTAAAATATGGTCATATTTTTGTTTAATAAAATATCTGGATTCAGCTAAAAGACTTATTAACATATGGGCCATAATAATCAAAAATATTACGACACACAAAAAAACTTTCATCACTAACAGTTCATCATCAACATTCGGAAAAAATAACAAGTCATTTCATATATTACAAAATTTCGTAAGAGCCAGGAGAATTATCAGACATCAGGGACAAATCTTTAGATCTGTCCCTAAATCTACTGTGCCCCAGGCTACACATCAAAAGAGACAAATAAATCAGCGATAACAAAAACAACAAAACACCCGTGTTACTAATTAGAAAGCAAATATTGTTTCTGTATCAGAAAGCAAGCCCAAAGAGAGAGCCTGCATTGTTGAGATTTATTCCATTAATGGACTGGCGAGAAGAGATATAGCTATAAACTCCTCTTGGCATCAAATTCTAGGCTTGGAACCAGTCAATTCTTAAGGTTTATTTGGAAAAGCACCCATCTTGACAGTTACCAGAGAGGACAGTTAATTTAAACACCATCCTCCTCACACAGAAACTTGGGTTGTCTAAAGGTTGTTTTGTGTGTGTGTGTGTGTGTGCGTGTGTGTGTCTGGCAGGGGTGGGGGAAAACTGGCCAATTTAATTAAGGAAGTGCAAGTTCCCTTCCCTAAAGCTCTTCTCTGAGTGTTGGTTCCTTTCCAGTCCTTCCCCCGAGACCCGGTAGACATTTAAGAGCCAGGATGTTCATAAGCAAATATAGTCATAATTCTGATGTGTTAGTAACAAAAAACATCAGAGAAATTCTCCTAGTCCTTTCAAGGAGTGATACAAGAGACCAGTATTCTATTTTACCCAAGTTACTGCATATAAACATCAAACTTAAAAATAATAAATTTATATAAATTAAAGTGCTTAAGAAAGTTCAGCCTCTTTCCCTGTCCTGCACAGAAAAACTGTTCACTCAATTTGAATATTTCAGGAAAATTTCACCCAGAATGTGTGGTCCTCTTTGGATTATGCAGAGAAGTTAACTTTCTCATAATATATATAACAGTTTTGAATTAGTGATCTTTCCTATAATTTCATCTATCTTATCTCTTAAAACAGAAGCTCTCAGTCTCTACCCAGAGCTCAAACTTGCTAACTCTGACCTCATAATAACTCAGGAGTTTGAGGAACTAGCCACTTGGTGAGCAGAATTAGGGAAGGTGCATTCCTAGGGTCCAGAATCAGAATTTGGATTGCATTTTCCTTTACAGGAAAAAAATGAAAGTTAAAATGAAATGTTACTATTAAGACTATAGGATCAAATGGCTTTTGATTGCAAGCTCAGAACCCAACAATTTATGATTCTATATCTACATGAAAAACAAATTGAGATTAAACTTTAAAAGTCAAATCTGTTTAAGATACAATATCCATGTTGCTTTATGACATAACTTCAAAAGCATTTCCTATATTTAAAAATACCTCCTCATAGAAGCTTTCAGTTAATCCTCCTGACAACCCAATGTGTTTGACAGAGAACATGTTATTTTTCAAATAACATCAATGTCACAGAAAGTGTAAATGACTCGCCCAAGCTCATCTCATCAATATGGGGATGTTTCCTTTATTGCAAGTGAAGCCCTCTACCTGCCCCCCCCCCCACATTCCCAGCTCCTTTCATGTGTGTCCAAATTCTTTTCTTCCCAGTTCCAGCTCAAATATTTGTTTTCATGAAGATAGTAGTGATAGCCCCTGCTGACAGTGACAGATACTTCCTTTGACCTCATAGCACTTTATGTCTCTCCTACCATGACAAAATAAGATTGGAATCAGAAGATTTGGTTTGGGTTCTGCTTGACTATTTACTTTCAGGGTAATCCTAGTAACCATAGTAACCACTAGAACACCAATTTTCTCATTAATATAACAGAGAAAACAAAATATATGCCCATAGAACTATTTAGAAATTTAATTTGGATAAGACAACTCAGGAAGAACTATGTGAACTATAAAGCCCTATACAACGTTACTTTTCACACTCACATATATATGTAAATATATTTTTTCTTTCTCATATACAACTTTTATTTCCCCTATCTTCTGGTTGAAGGAAGACTCTATATCTAATGAATACTTGATTTTTTCATAGCACTCATTTGTGCTTCACAACTAGGTATTTGATACAAATTTCTAAAATTAATGAAGGATTGAAGGTATAGCTACATTAGTCAAGGCAAGTTTCATAAAGCAGAGTGCTCATCACCACCTGCTAAATGTAGAAGCCCAAAATCTGACTTCAACTTTTCTCTAATGTCATTGCCTGTTTCTTCACCACCACTTCAGTCAACCTAGATTTATCTCTGATTCCATAAATACTCCCTGCATTAGTCTGGCTCTAGGCCTCGGAACAAATCATGATAGCCTTTCCTGTCCTTTATTTGTTGAAATAGTATCCAGCCCTATATACCTATTTCAAATGCCATTTTCTCCACAAAGCTTTCCTTAATCTCACCCACTGGAAATGACACCTCCTACTCTTAAGTAAACAATATTTGTTCATATCTCACAGCCATTATCATTTGACCACATATTATATTTCCTTGTGCATGTAATTATCTAACCTAGTGCATTTTGATCATGTTAAGACCAGCATTATGTTTTAGTTAATTTTATATCCCACAAAGCAGGTAGTAAAATGTCTTCCATATGGTATGTACTCAAATAATATACAGGATGAGGCAAAAGTGGGTTTACAGTTGTTCGTCTGGAAAATAATACAATAATTAATAAATGATAATACGGGAATAAACTCTCTGCTTTGCACACTCACAACTGTAAACCTAGCCCTGGCCTGTGTTGCTCAGTTGTTAGAGCATCAACCTGTGCACCGATGGGTCACAGGTTGGATTCCCAGTCAAGGGCATGTACCTGGGTTGCACAGTTGATCCCAGCCCTTATCTTTGCGTGCAGGAGACAAATCAAATTGATGTCTCTCTCTCACATCAATGTTTCTCTCTCTCTCCCTCTCCCTCCCTCCCACTATCTCTAAAAATCAATGGAAAAAATATCCTCCGTGAGGATTAACAACAACAAAAAAACTGCAAACATACTTTTGGCCCACCCTGTATGCCGATTGAATGTTTTACTGCATATTTCTACCTTATAAATTGCCATAAAAACATAGAAAAGGCTTTACAAAGTAATAATCTACTGTTTGAAGTCATTATTACTGGGCATTCCTATAAGATGGTAGATTATAGGCAGAAACATACCTTTTCCAACATTTAAAAAGCTACAAATACATAAACTACTTATAATCTGATTTCCTCCATAACTTGAAAGCAGCATGTTCTTATTAATTACACTTTTATCATTTTTGAATGACATTTAAAAAGTTAAGGTACTCAACATGACTTCTCATTAAAAGATACTTTAGAAAATAATAAGAGGTTGACACATTTTAAATGCACAGTTTCATCTTGCATCACTGCACGTATGCAAACTAACATAACAGCTACCAATAATCCTCATTCTTGTTATCATCATAACATAGATTTCCTTTATAACAAAGGTATACAAGTCTCCTCTCTCAGGGCTGTTTAAATCACATAATCCTTCATTGCCTGCTGTCATTTTTGTTTTTTGTTTGTTTTGTTTTCCTGGGCTGTTTCAGACATAAGGCACAGGGCCCACCCACAGCATCCTCCAGACAGACTACACGGTTTCCGTGCCTTCTCACCAGGTAGGGGCTACCAGATTTCTTTTAAAAATACATTCTTTTAGATACTAAGCCTCTTTAATCTCACTTTGTTATTATCTTATCTTCACTGTACTACTTTTTTTTTTTTAAATATGTCTTTATTGACTTCAGAGAGAGGAAAGCAGAGGGAGAGAGAGAGATAGAAACATCAGTGATGAGAGAGTCACTGATCGACTGCCTCCTGCACGCCCCCAACTGGGGATCGAGCCCCGCAACCCAGACATGTGCCCTGACTGGGAATCGAACCCTGATCGCCTGGATCCTGGGCCAATGCTCAACCACTGAAGCACATCCGTGCTTCACTGTATTACTTCTTAACTCCAGAGAATTTCTGAGTTTTTCTACTATTTGGCACTTTGTGTCCCTCCCCTGCCAATGTCCCCAAATTTTTACCATGACTGGCTGAGAATTACTTTTCTATCCTCAACCAAAATAAACAACCTTGAATTCATCTGTGGCACTACCAGCCCTTTATAATCTGATATGTCAGGAAGGCTTGCCCAAAGACTTGGGAGATATAAACTATGGTCCTTCTGAGAAGACACCCATCAATGTTGAACCTTCTCTAATGACTTCTGCATTTTATGAACTGACTTATGCTGTTGTTAAGGACTCTCAACTAATGAGGGAAGCATGCCTTCACAGGGGATATCAAAATCTCTGTCAAGGAAATGTGTGATTTGAAAAAGTCTACTGAACTTTACATTAAAAATCTATTTAGTATTTGAAAACATTGTGTTTTTCTCAGGACAAATATGACCCCATTTAAGTATTATAATTTTGGTAGGTAGGAGCATGATTTAAAGTAATAGCACTATATAGTAAATAATAAATAGTGTGGCCCTTACAGAGTGCAATGAGCAAATGCTCAGCATCTTTCAATCAATTCATATTTGCTTTATATGCCAAATTTATCAGAAATTGTGGCAATATTTTCGGCTTATTATTGAACAAAAGGATTTTTAAAAATCTAACTTAAAATTGGCAGAAAAGAAAAAGAAGAGGCAAGAAGGAGAGAAAGAAGGAAAGAACCAGAGGAAAATAATGCCATCCCTATCCTATAGTCATTAAAGGAAGCACCCTGTGAGGAAGATGGTAAAATGGTTTAAGACATGGACACAGTGAATAAATGTACTCACCTCAGTTATATGAGGATTGGGATTAAAACCACAGAGGCTACACACAGTGGTTTTACATCCAGTGCATGTGTTAAAATTGGCCTTTTCTGGAACATGCAACAGAAGTTCAGTGGTATTGCAAAGAGGACAGATGGTTTTAGGGAGGCCTTGTACTGGAATCTGGGCTGCAGATGGAGAAGTCGGCGGCTGCAGTGGTTTCCCAGCTCCTGTTTGGCTTACTGGTTTTGTAGATTGCTGAGCTGAGGGCTTTGCTGAGCCAGGCTGTTGAGGTGGGGGCTTTGCTGAGCCAGGCTGTTGAGCTGAGGGTTTTGCTGGGCCAGGCTGTTGAGTTGAGGGTTTCGCTGGGACAGATTGTTGAGCTGAAGGTTTTGCAGGGCCAGCCTGTTGAGGCGGGGGCTTTGCTGGGCCAGGCTGTTGAGATGAGGGTTTTGCAGGGCCAGGCTGTTGAGCTGAGGGTTTTGCTGGGCCAGGCTGTTGAGCAGGAGTCTTTCCTGGCCCAGGCTGCTGAGCCGGAGACTTCACTGGCCCAACTTGCTGTGCGGGAGTCTTTGTAGGCCCCGGTGGCTGAGCTGCAGACTGTGGCCCAGGTTGGTGAGCTGGGGATTTTGGTGGCCCCATCTGTTGGGCAGGGGGCTTTGCTGGTCCTGGAGGCTGAGCTGGAGACTTTGGCCCAGGCTGCTGAGCTGCAGGCTTTGTTGCCCCTGGTGGCTGGGCTGGGGGTTTTGCTGTGAGCTGCTGAGCTGAGGGCTTTGCTGTCCCTGGCTGTTGAGCTAGGGTCTTCGCTAGCCCTGGTTGCTGAGCTGAGGATTTTGCAGGTCCAGGCTGTGGTGTGGAAATTTTTTCAGGTCCAGGCTGCTGGGCTGGAGGTTTTCCAGGACTTACTTGCTGAGTCGGAGGTTTGGATGGGCTTTGCAGTGAGGGTTTGAGTGACTCTCCCTTTACTGTGTCTGACTGTTTAGTCTGAGGCCTAGTTGCATCTCTTTGAAATGGCAATTTTGTCTGGTCTGTCTGAGGAGCCTGGGTAAGTCCCTGAATTGGCTTTCCTGTCCCTGGAGGTTGTGATTTCATTTTTTCTGCTTGCTGAGAAGATATTGATTTGGGAGAGCCATCCTGCTGAGGTGGGGCCCTCACAGGTCCTTGCTGCTTAGGAATCGACTTGGGTGACTGTTGTTGTGATGGAGGCTTTGTGATTCCCTCAGGTTTTCCTTGTTCCTTCTGAGCTAGTTTTTGTTTCTTGGCGTCTTCCTGGGATGCATCAGAGTCTGATATCAAATCAAAAGGATTGAATTTATTTACAACAGAGGAGACAGCACTTAAAGGGTTAACCTCTGAGAGGAAGCCAGGCATCATACCAGACTTGTGCTCTTCCTTAACATCAGTTCTGGACTTTGATTCTTTCAAACTAATAGTGGAAGGACTCCTTCCGGGCAATTTCTGCTCTGACCTCAAAGTGTCTGTAGTTCTACTTTTACTGAGACCAGGCTGAGCTGGACGCACAGGGTCCGGCGGTTTTCCTGGTGGTTTTGGAGGGTGACTACTATCCAACTCTTGTTTCCTAGAAGAGTGAAACAAAAAGAAGTGAAATGATGAAAATTCTCACAACTGAAAGTAATATCAAAAGCCATAACTTCCTTAAATCTTCAAAATTATAAACATATAAATATAACTAAGATGCATTTCTGTAGCATCCTGTAAGTGATCATAAAACCTTTAATGCCTTTATTACTTTCTTTATAAAGAAAGATTTTTCAACAAGAAGGCAAAGGAAACGGGGAAAATACAATACTGCTACTATGAGTGGTGAAAAATTAAGATAACTAGTTAGAAAGCATTAATAATAAAAATAACTTAGATTTACACTTAATAGAATCTGGCCATAGTTAAAACCTAACTAAACATATTAACTCAGTAAATCAATACAACACTACATTACAGTGCATTAATTTCACAAGGTGCATCATTTTTCATCAAAAGTTATGGTCAAAGAATGTTAGTCTCCCAAATACTAGCAGCACTGAGAAGTAAAAATATTAATTTTAAAATGTGGGAGTTCACACAACTGTTTTTTGTTGTTTTTGTTTTTACTTGATTATGACAATTTACATTAGTTACATAAAGCCTACAATGTGACATCAGGAGTTTCTAGTAAAGGTTACATTTAACAGGGACTCTGAGAAAGTGGATCATCTAGTCAATTTTACCCTATTCTGTCTAAAAGGGTAATATCCATTAAATATTAAACTTTATAGAATAAAAATTCCTACTTAATTAGCAATTTTTGAGAAACAGTTCCATCTTTGCTGTAGAAAAATATCATTTAGTTATTTTTTTCTAAAAGCTGATTCTTAATGTGAGATCTCTGCAAGGTAACAATAGATGCTTAAAACATCTTCAGATATAGCCTGCTATATGCAAATAGCAAGGAGCTAGCTATGGCCTCACTTTTGAAAAGTATTGCTCACTTCCTTAGATGAAGAAAACACATGATCTTGCTTAATGTTTCCTACAACGTTTACTATTGCTATTCTTATTAGTAGTAGTGATATTATTTACTGACATCAAGTTTAAAATGTAAGAAATAATTTGCAATATATCTTTTAACTCATAGACAAATATACAAAATTGGTTTTCTGAAATAGTTTTGGTAACAAGATCAAATTTAATAAAGATCTGAAATAGCTGTTTCTTATATATACTTTTAGTCAAAAATTAAATACATTAATTTTTGAGAAAGCCATTCTTTACTGCTAAATTTGAAACTAGTATTATGCTACATTAGAATTATAGAAAAAATTAAATTACACATATTTTGTTTAATATGTGTAGCTTTTACATTTTGGAAAAGATTTACTTCTTTTTAATTAAAAGGAAAAAAGGAGAGAAAAACAGTGACTCAGTAGCACTTAATATATGAGATGGTTGTAATAAAGTTCTACAGGTTTTAACTTGTTTTATCAAAATTTACCTGCTCGTGCAGAAACTAAATTTTAAATTTCAGATCATTTACCAGTTAATAATATAAAGCATAGTACAAAGAAACACTGAAGTATTACTTCTAATTAGGAAAGGGTCAGAAAGAAAATAATCTATAAATGGCAATACATACACAAAGTGATTTTTAATAAAAGATGAATAAACAAAATTCTTAGTTCTGGCAATTTCCTCCAGGAAAAAAGCTACAAAACTTTAGATATTACCATGTCTCTGAAGCACTTACTTAAACAAGAAAAATTAATACCTATATTAATTCCAACCGTTCTAAGATATGTTTTAAAATTCAGTGCAACATATTTTCATTTGGGGAAAATAATTTTGAATGTTTCTTTATAGGCCTCCCTATGTTCCCTCTTCCATATGATGGCAGAAAAAGCCATAGTAAACCTATAATAGATTATTTTCAAAAACGTTCCACTGTTTAGATCTTTATGTTATTCTAGAAATGTCCCACACTCAATTAAAATAGAACACTCCTTTGAAGGGCATATGCTTCAAGATTCTGTTACACAAGTGACTATCCTATAAGTAATTATTTAGACATTTTATTGAATTGGCTCCCTTGCACAGAAGCCTAGAAATCTACTTTTAAACAGAGTACCAAAAAATCTATCCTTAATTTCACTAAATTGTCCTCTATTAAAAATACTATTACATTTAATAACTGTTTTGTGATATTATTTCACTTAATCCAACATTATGTATTGAACAAACAAAAAATAAACTTCATGAGTATCAACTATTTATGGTAACAATAAAAAACAAAATTTAAAGCATCTTGGATCAAAAATTGTAAAGGCATGCACTTCCTACAAATATAAGTTGTATTGTATTATAGACTCCCCCTGTGAAAAAATATCTATATAGCTATAAGGATTGCCCTACAACTTAAACTTAGTCTTAGTTGCTATCATTATGTAAATAAACATAAAACATGGAGATCTTGGAATGAGAAATAGAAAAACAATCATTGAAGAGGGCATAGAGGGGATAAATGGTGATGGAAAAAATAAATTAAATTAAAAAAGAAAATTCAGGCTTAATACCAAAAAATATATAAAGTTGTCTTAGCAAATTGTGGTCTTTTGGTGAATTTTTGTTTAGTGTAACAGTTGTTCAGTTAAAAAAAAAAAAAAATGACTAAAATGCAATCTGTGTCTTGTTCACTTGACTATGAACTCCTGGACAATGTTTGGTTGCATCACTAGAACCAAACCTGGTAACTAGTAGATGAGCATCAATAATTGATGAATGAGTAACAATGAGTGAACAAATGAGTGAACATGGAAGGTTTTGTATTATTCTGGATTAATGTTTCTTGAAGTCTTTCTACTTCAAATTCTTCTACAGGCCTCCTGAGATATAAATGGCAGCATTCCATATTCTTTTTAGATCCTGGACTTGGCCTGCTGCTCTAGGAAGAAAAACAGGTAATGGTAGTGTTTAGCCAGTAGGGGAGGGCCAAAGGAATGCTAAAGAAAATATTGAGTAACTCAGAATTCTTATAAAATATTCTATTAATCAGAAGTGGGTTTTAGTAAGCCCTTTCACATGACATATCTGTAGCTGTAAAAAGAATGAGTATAAGAAGTAATAAAATGGCATTTCCCTGGGTCTACGATGAATAAAAAATCCAGGAGCATTTCATTTGTAACCTGTAACTTCTAGCTTGTAACTACCCATGCGTTATACAGCATCACTATTTTACTACTGTCATTCCACATTAGAATTTTTCTTTTGTAGGTTAGCAGGAAAAAAATCATTCCACTACAAATGAGGTACACATGTAGTCAAGTGTAGAATGTAAAAGCAGCTGGAATGCTAAAATATTTTGTTAAATGTAACACAACAGAAAATGACACTTCACTTGACAGTGCTGAGTCACATAAAATTTTACATTAGGAATATAAGCAACTACAGGAATTCATTTTTATACTGTAGTGGATACTAGGGCTTAAAGAGGCTAGGAGATTAATCCAAGGTTATAAAATTAGGCACAGGAACATGGTGTCCTGATTCCTAGAGGGGAAGGGGGGGGTGTATTTCCACCATATTGCATTGACTGTCCCATATGTAAAATATAGATACATCAAATTAATTCATAATAATGAGTAACTCAACATACAACTTGTCTGTAGCCATCACTGCCACTGCCATTCATTGCTGATATTGATATTACTATTTTATTTATAGGGTTTCATCATATTAAAATTCAAACAAAACATTCATCTCTATTTTTAATTGATCCTCACAATGACTTTAAAAGATAGGTAAGACAAACATCATCTGCCTTATTTAGAGGCAAGGAAACTGAGGCACATATGACTGAGAAGCACTTAGAATTTACCATGAGTCAGTTAAAATTAATAGAATAAGAACCTAGGTCCCTGGGCTCTCAACCCTTATTTCTTAAAAAGATTTTAAAAAGTTAAACCTGACCGTGTTTAATTCACAGCACTTAATCTCTTAAAACTTCAAATAATTTGGATATACTTTCTCACATATACTTAAATTAATGTTTCTAAATATTTGAATGATAAACCAAGTATTCCTTTGGTTATTACCTACGGGGATAATAACTTTCCAAAAATTATGTGCCTCTTGTAGAAATCTTTCAGTAAAATATAAGCAGGTTATAAAAATTAGAAATGTATTGTTTATATATTTAGATGAAGCTTTAACAAATAAGCCACAGATTACCTATTAATAAGAACTCTACCATAAAATTATCAATGGAGAGTTTTAAAAGTACGCTATCTGATACAAATAGTGCATAAAACATCATGGTCTCATAGGCTGAAATAATATCCTTCAGACATCCTCTGAAAGAAGAAAAGTTAGGAATTTAGAAATCAAAGCTCACACTTTTCTTGGTATTTGTAACCAGCACGTTAAACCTGTTGCTTGTGCCTCTTAGGAAAAACTGTAGAACAGGCATACATTTCTAAAAGGTTAATAGAAATATTGTGCTTCGTTATTATCTTATGAAAATGTAGTGTATGACCATTCAAAATACTTTTCAAGTCAAATTTCATCAGTAGAGAAAAACAGTACATATCATATAAGCTGTACTACTTAAGGAAATGAATAACAAGGGCTTTTTACCAAAGAAATAGCCCAATATATTACTAGTTTAAAAACACAGACAACATATCCAATATAAGGAGCTAGCTCAACTAGCAGTGGTGGTTTCATTTAAAGAAAATCGGGTTTCTACCTGATAAGTTTTAGACATTTAGGATTTTATATGAAAAATATTGTCCCAGAACATTTTATGTATCCACAACACATTTTACATTTCTCCTATTTAAATTTAATATTGTAATTATTTGAGACAATCATATGCATATGATAGTTCCTAAGTTAAAATATTTTTATTTTATGAAGTATACTATAAGAATCTACACCTATATATCCAGATCTTTCATATTTCCAGTAACTCAAATGAGAATTGTAGGTTCCCCTTCAGTTACTATAAAGCAGGACTGGTTTCAGGACCATGGATAGAGAATAGAGAACTATTCTCTATGGGGGGGGGAGTTAAAGGATGTGTTTACAATAATAAAGGCAGGGCAGGCACAATAATTATACCCTCTTAGCCTCTAATTAGAAAACAACTAATTTATTAGGACTGAGAGCTAGAGACGGAAATGAATGTTATTATTACACACTAACTCTTAACTGCCTGTGCAAGTTAGTCATTTATTAGCTTTGTCTTTAAAAGTATGTACCAGAAACTAATTTTAAGATAACACAAATCCACATGTTCTTCTATAAACTGTAAAGCACTTTTGTATATAAAAGAGCAGTGGTTTAAAAAATAGCATATGCCAATTCAGAAATACATGTACAGCACCTGCTCTGCTGTGACCAAACCATCTGCTTAATGCTACAACATATTTTAGGGCCCCACATTGAGTATAAAAGATGAATTCATTTTATACCTTCTACCTAAACAGCTCCTGTTCTCCTCTGGGGATGGGATGGAAAGGAAGGACAAATCACCTCCAGGGAATTAATGGTATTGTTTCAGAAACATTTAGACACCATTTACAAAGAAAAAGGCCCCAAAATGACTGAGGAGGTCTAAACAGAGGCAGGTAAACACCCATATCTATCCATTTCCAACACGTCTGTTTTGTATTAATGGAACACTTCCAGATTAGTAAAACACCGGAGGGCGTCTCTCCACGCCATCCTAGGGGGAAAGGTTCCAAAAGGCCACAAATCACAACCTAAAATCACAGTCCCAAGGATGCTACCCTTGACTATCCCACCAGAAACTCTACAATGCATCATTTGTATTCTGCCCATCAGAAAGGCGGCTTGTAATTTCGTTATCGCCACCCCACCGGGGAGAATAAAATGAACGGAAACGACATATATGTACTGCCGTGCTGGCACATATGTGCAAGGGCTGTACATATATGCCCGGACATATACATCATGCTGTGCGTGCCTGTGCATGGAAGGCGGCTCCGCAGCGGCCGCGGGAACGCTTCCCTTGGGCAGCCCCTGCGCCCTTGACATGACAGCGGCGATCTGTCTCCTCTCCTCCTCGCTCAGCCGGCTCAGGTCCGCCTCCATGCCGGCCGGGAT